TCTCTTCCTCCATCTCTGGTGCTGCTGCTTCTCTGGCTAAGGTCCTGCATTCTGGTTATGCTTTTCTCTCTTGATGGTCCCAGGGTCCATCAGTACTTCACTCCTTTTTATTGCTGAAAAAGATTCCATTGTATGGCTGTACATGTATTGTACATTCATTTACCAGCTGATGGACTTTTAGGTTACCATAGCATAGTGGTTATGAATCGGGCTGTGAACCGCAAGGTTAGCAGTTCGAAACTGCCAGCCATTCCGCGGTAGAAAGATGAGGCTTTCTGCTCCCGTAAAGATTTACAGCCTTGGAAACCCTGTACAGGGTCACTATGAATCAGAACTGACTCCATGGCACACAACATGAATAATACAGCTATAAATATTCACATGCAAATTTATATGGGTGTATGTTTTATTTCTCTTGGGTTACCTAAGAGTAGAATTGCTAGGTTGTATGTTTAACTTTTTTAAAAATTGCTAAACTTTGGTATTCCAGAGTGCCTATATCATTTACCTTTTTATCCCCATACTTCTGGAGTTGGATTTATACTTAGAAAGCCCTTTCCTTACACTAAAGCTAAAGAGAAATTAACTCATGTTTTCTTCTACTGCTTACATGGTTTATTTTTTTAATTTCCTTTGCATTTCGGTTTTCTGTTGGGAATTTATTCTTGTATATGGCATGAGCCTAAGGAGCTCTGGTAGTGTAGTGGTTACGAATCGGACTGTGAACCTCAAGGTCAACAGTTCGAAACTACCAGCTGTTCTACGGGAGAAAGAAGAGGCTTTCTGTTCCCATAAAGATTTACAGCCTCGGAAACCCTGCACAGGGTCGTTATGAGTCGGAACCGACTCCACAGTACTTAACAACAACAACAACAACAATGGCATGAGCCTACTTTCTTTTAATCCTCATTTTTAATAACTTATTTTTGATTATAAAAGGGATACATTGCTTCTCATTGTACATTTATAAAAGTATGAAGACTAAAGCTTAAAAATATCATTCCACATCACACAGAGATGACTACTCTTACCTTTCAAATTTTCCCTTTTGCGTAGTTTAAGTTGGGTTTCTTAAGAACGTTGAATAAATGAACTGAGGAAATCTAGACTCCCTTAGTGACATAAAGGACTAATCTCAGTGTAGTTATTTTAGAAGCAGTTTATCAAGAACATTTAAAATAAACTACTTAGCATAAATAAAATGACTAATTTAGGATTTAAGACTAGACTTCATTCTGGCTCCTGCTTGTTAAGCAAATCTTTCCTCTGCAGTCATGCAGATGCAGGATGTCATAGAGTGGGTCAAAATACAAATAATCATCTGAAACCCTCTTATGCAGGATGTTCTCAGAAAATCTATTGTTGTATGCAAATTATTTTCAACTTATCTTACTGTTTTAAAGCAATGTAGTTTGATTTATATTCTTAAGTGCTTGTACTATACACTCTTTGGAAGCCTGTGTCTTAAGATAGGTTAAATAATACATAACAAACCTGTTTGCTATCTAATTTCGGGAAAAAAGCCGATCTTGTCACCAATCTACAGATGCAACTGTCAGCACATATATCCTTTAGTCACATCACAGACAGCACCACTGTGAGAAAGCTCATCTTAACTTTCGAATATTATAAACCCTGTTCTTTGTCTAAACTTTTCCATGGACCATGAATCATTCTTTAAACCATTAATAAACCTTTTTTATCTTGGAACAGATTGCAAGTATTTTCTCTGCACTACAACTGACCTATCTTCTTTTCCTTTCAGTTTATCACAAACAATTTTTCATGTGTTATACATGAAAAAACACCCCAAATTCAAACATATTCTGTTGTTGTTGTTAAGTGCCATTGAGTCAATTCCAACCCATAGCGACCCTCTATAGGGTTGTTGTTGTTAAGTGCTGTCGAGTTGGTTCCAACCCATAGTGACCCTGCCACTCCTTAGAAACCCTAATCAGAGTCGCTGTAAGTCAGAAACAATTTGATGGCACTTAACAACAACAACAATATTAAATCATTAAAGTATTTCAGGGATATGTTTCAGGACAATTTTTTTTAGATTTATATGGGATCATTTTAACTCAACCCTTGCACTGTAGGATATATTTGTATCAACCTTTGATATGTTGTTGTCAGGTGCTGTCAAGTATGTTCCAAATCATAGAGACCCCATGCATACCAATACAAAACCCTGCACAATCCACACAGTCATTGCTATGTTTGAGCCCATTGTTGTAGTCCATGTGTCAATCCATCTCACTTAGGGTCTTCCTCTGTTTTGTTGATCCTTTACTTTAACAAGCATGGTGTGCTTCTACAAAGGTGTATTTTTCTAATATGTTAATATCTTTGTTTTAGTGTGGCACCTTCAGAGAATCTACAGTCCCTGATGGAGAAGAATCAGTCTCTGGTAGAGGAGAATGAAAAGTTAAGTCGAGGTCTGAGTGAGGCAGCTGGTCAGACAGCCCAGATGTTGGAGAGGATAATTTTGGTGAGACACCCCAGACTAAAATACTAGCAATCTGGACGTTTACTAGCATTAGTTTCTGAAACATTTAACCTGCTTCTCATTATGATAGATAGGTTATATGGAAAGAAATGAGTTAGTATTGCCATATTATCCAGGGAGCTACTCTGGGATAAATGTATGGACTTGTAATCAAGCATACAGAAAAGCTGAAAGAATTGTACAGTGATTACCTATGTGGTTGTTGTTGTTTAATGCTAGAAACCCTATATAGGGTTTCCAAGAAGCGGATGGTGGGTTTGAACCACTGGCCTTGTAGTTCAAACTAACCCTGCAATCCAGTGCTTTATCCTATAGCGCTCCACCAGGACTCTATATAGAACACCGGTATATCCACCAAAAAGAATCTACATGAATCCCATTTTAAAATAGATTTGTTCTAAAATGCCAGAAAGGAAAGAAACAAGTCCCTCTGTCACCTTAGGTCAGCTTGATCTTTACCATAATACTGTGACTGTCCCCTCACTAACATATTGTTGTTGTTAAGTGCCATTGAGTCAGTTCCAAGTCACTGAGACCCTGTATAGGGTTTCTGAGGAGCAGCTGGTAAGTTTAAACCATGGGCCTTGCAGTTAACAGTTCAGTGCCTATCCTACACCACTATTTCCAAGTGGTGGATCACTATGTAACTGATTACACTATTCTGAATCTGATAGTAACTTGCAGGATCAGTGTGCCCTAGCTCTGTTACTAGCACTTTTCTAAATACAGCTCAGTCTTTGACAGCACAATTATTGCCAGAAGTACAGATTAATTTCTACCAAAACATAATTGCACTTCTATAACTTGTATATTTTCATGCACCAGTATGCTCTCTAGTCAGGGAAGGCTAAACTGCTTAAAGTTTTCTTTACAGAGGCCAAATCTTATACCCATTATTTTGTCCATTCCTAGCAGAAAGGTGAGAAAGGGATCTATAGGATTTTTCCACCGATTTTTTTTTTTTTTTGGGGGGGGGTCTCCAATGCTGTGTATTATGCCTTTGAAATAACTCCAGTACCTGTGCTTCACATTTTTGTTAGTGCGGCTGACATAACAAGCAGCACTTGTTATATCAGCCACATACTCATCTGACTTTTATAAGGTTGTTACTATGACTGTCTGGTAGGCTTATTGTTTGATCCCTTGTCACAACTTCATGACAGGTGTAACATTTTTGTCCTATATAAACTATCCTTCCCAAATCTGTTGCAACATCCAGAATGTTATACTGTGATTAAAATTAATTGAAAATAGTAATTTTCTTCCCCAAACTCTTAACTGCCTTCTTCCATTTTTATCTTTATCATAATTCTTGTGCTCCACCCTTTTTCTTGCCTTTTTTGCTAAAACTAGCCTTGTAAAACAGGTAGTGTATAACTTTTAAAAAATTCTCAGCTCACATTGAGTGTGAAGAGGCCCTTTTAAAATTTAAATGCCTTTATACTGGGACTAGGCAACAGTGTTGTATAGGAGCTAATTAAAAGTAATTTTTGTGTGTGTGTGTGTGTGTGTGCAAACAGCAGAGGATTCCAAAGTTCTCTATTAAATTAAGACTTCACATTGTATACTGGAGTCTGAGCTTCATGGCAATCACAAGACCAGCTGCTTGGATGCTATGTTTAGTAGCTCATGGTGACCAAAGGACTAATTTTCATTACTCTGTTAAAACAAACAGACAAACACATTTTTTCACTAAATAACCAAATCCCACTAAATCCTCCTTTATAGCAAAATAGCCAGGCTTCTACCTATATTTTAATCCATAGGAGTAAGAGAAAGCATAATTGGGTGAGGCTGTCAGGCACTGCCACTGATGATTTCCTGGATCTTTGTTGCAGACAGAGCAAGCAAATGAAAAAATGAATGCCAAACTTGAAGAGCTCAGGCAACATGCAGCGTAAGTTTCCTACTTGATGTTTGTTAGTGCCCTATACCATCTTAGTATATAATGGTAGATCCTCTTGCCTCTGTAGTGTGATTAACTCTTAGGTTTCTTTACTTCAATTTCAGCTGTAAACTGGATCTTCAAAAGATAGTGGAGACTTTGGAAGACCAGGAATTAAAAGAAAATGTAGAGATAATTCGTAACTTGCAGCAAGTGATTGCCCAGCTATCGGTAAGCCAAATATGGGCAGTATAAATAGGTATATATTGCTTACATTTGTTTCTTTTGATGCATGTAAGAATTTCTAACTCTCTGCCCTTTTTTTTTTAAGCTTTTATTGTGAATTGAGTGATAGTTTACATGGGAGAACATTGTTTTGCCCTCATCATACCATATTTTGTTTCACTGCAATGATTACAATCCCTTCCACGCATCATCATTTTACAGTATTTGCTTCTATTTCCTCTGGGTTTATCCTTTTTGTTTGTTTGTTTTTTGATGTACACAAAATCTCGAAGGAATATATAATCATTTATACAACCAAAGAGCAAATTCTACAAGCCAGCCCCCTGGCTGCCAGCACACAGCCTTTCTCTTTCCATGAGTCTAGAGTCTTCAGCTATTCTATCTCTCCATGCCATCACCTCTGCCTCCATCTCTGGTGTAGCTGCTTTTCTGGTTGGGGTACCACGTTCTGCTCATATTCTTCTCTCTTGATGGTCATAGAGTCCAGTGTTCCTGGAATGTAAGATTAACTAATCACCCCCTTTATGTTAAACAACTTCTACCTTTATAGTTGTGGCATTCTCAATTAGTCATGATAATAATTTCTCATTGTTGAATCAAAAGAATCCTATCCCCATCTCCTTTCATCAGACCCATGTAGACAAAATGAAAACTATTCAGTGGGGATTCTACTTTCCCCAGCATACTTTGGAACTAAACTCCCTCTTGAAAACTTTTAAGCCAGCCACTTCATGCCTTATAGCCCTCCACCCCAATTTTAGGTAGCTAATGTCTAAGTTCATCCCTATCAACCCTGTATACTGAGGGACTAGGCTTTATCCTTGATGTGAAGACTCCTTCCCTCTTGGTTGGTATTTTGAGCTACTATGTCTGTAAGTATAGGTCAAGTTCATCAAATTGTAGCAGTTTACACTTGCTTCCTTTATCAAATTTCTTTGTCTTCCTCTAATTGAGCTCTGATCATCAACCATCATAGCTAGGTCAAATGGGTATAATGCTGCTTTTTTTTTTTGAAGCAATTAGATTATGAAGTACTTAAGGACAGAGATCAAGAATATTTTAATGTGACCTTAATATTGAATTTGTTAAGTTAAAACATCCATAGGTTACATATGCAGTGACACATTAATACAGTTGTGTGTTGTGTAATGTCCATGATACGTTCTTTGAAATAGGATGTTATATGAACAAACTGTGGTTAAACCTTATGCAGTCCCCAGATTTTGAACAAGTCCCATTTCTAAGTCTGTTTTTAAGTTGAATTTGTAGTTAAGTATGGTTTGTATCTAACGTCAGTTACTCAAATGCTTATTTTAGTATACGGTATATAGTGTACCTTGCTATACATAAAAAACTTGAAAGAAACATTTCCAGATAACACAAAAAAAAATCTTTGACATAATATTTGTTGTTTAGTGCCACGGAGTTGGTTCTGACTCATAGTGACCCTGTATGGTGTTTGTGAGGCTTGCTGGTGGGTTTGAACTGCTGACCTTGTGGTTAGCAATCCAGTACTTATCCTACAATGCCATACCAGGACTCTAACATATAACAGACTTGTTATTAAGTACCATCGAGTCATTTCTGACTCCTAGAGACCCTGTATAGGATTTACAAGGAGCAGCTGGTGAGTTTGAACTGCCAACCTTGTGCAATTCAAAACGACTGTGCAGGTCTATTGCTTATCCTACAACATCACACCAGGACTCCAGGTTAATAATGTTTTATTACGTGTTGCAAAGTATTACCTGTTTATTATTAGGAACCATATGTATGTAAAATCAAAATTTTAATATAATGGAATTTATGGGAATTGGAACCACCAATGTGTATGGGGTCGGACTTTGCCCAAACAAAGGTAATAGTGTGATGCATTACTATTTTTCAGGATTCTAATTAGACACCAGAAGGAGAACTAAGGTGTAGTGCAAAATTGCCTGGATAGCAAGAGAAACAGTTATTGATTTGCTGTCCATTCAGTGTCAGCTAACTTAATAAGAGTGCTTGTACCATTCCCCAATTTTAAATAAGCTGGAATCTGACACATAGCTCAGAACACCCAGGGAATACCATAGCTGTCTTTATAACCAGTAATAAGCAAATATGAATAATTGTTCTGCCATAAGCTGATAAGTTCCATTTAAAAATTTTTTTGAACTGTTGTAGTAGGTGTGTGTGTGTGTGTGTGTGTATGTATACATATGTGTATATGTGTGTTTGGGATTAGGGAGAGAGGAGTTATTTGTTTTTCCCAGAAGAAACTCTTTCACAGTGCCACCACCCTAAAAATAAATTTTTATTTGTGGATTCCTTCTCTTTCATAGTCCTTGGGCATGCATATATGTTTTTGTTAACTGAAATCATAGAATCATATAGTATGTTAAGGCATTGTGGTTGGTTAAGGCTTTATGGTTGGTATTACAATCATCTACACTTTCTTGTTTATTATTCTGAAGCAATACTATAAATGTGTCTTGTGATCATTCCTAGCCCTTGCAAAGCTTTTCATTGTATCAGAACAGTGATTAAGACACTCTGGTGTTGCTCACTGTTTTCTAGAGTTGCTAAGAGAGTATCACAAAATCATCTACACATAATATTTGCCGTTAAAAAGTAAACATTAAAAAAACATGTTATACAGTATCAGGGTGTGATTAGGATGACTAGTTCTAAGAAATCAAATTAATAAAGTTCCAAAAGGTATTGCATTAATATTATACAAAACTGCCCTGAATATCCACCAAATAGGACTTAGTCATTGAGAACCTGTGCGGTAGACTGAGGTTTGAAGCCAGCTCTGCCACTTACTATATAACCTTGCTAGATGCTGTAGTAATGTCAAAAGAAAATAATTTAAGTGACTCAAAAAGAGGTTATAATGCTCATGTGCTTAAGAAGAACCTGAACGCCAGGTAACTCCCCAAGTTGAAGCAGTGTTGAACTTTCACAGGGTGAAGAGACGAGAGAGTTGTGTGGCCTTGTAATTTGGTTCAGGTAGCAGTTTTTGTTTTTTATTGCTATGAAACTCTTGATTAGACATTCTAATTTGCATGCATCTTGCAGGATAATTGATATAGTGCCATCCCATCAAATGTCAGAAGATTATTTTTTAAGAGATGATCTTGCAAGCTTTGTCTTATGTTGGTTAGTCGAAGTCCAGAAGTGGGACAGGTGGCAAAAAAGAAAAAAAAAGCAGAGAAAGGGAATGAAGTGTTGTGAAAGGAAAAAAGAATGGGTGATGAACTGCCTATAAAATTCAAGAAGGCATCACAGAAGAAACTGGGTCTTTTGAATAGTTTTCCAAATAGATAAAGGGGAAAGGACACTCCTTCTACAGGAAAAGGCACATGTAAAAGAGGTATGAAAGTAATTTTTTTTTAATGATAAGATTTGACTGTAGCTAAAATATAGAGTGCATCCTAGAGAACGGCTACCACAGGATTAAATTTCAACATCTATAATTGATTCAACAGAATGTAGAAATTATTGAACAATATTATTAATATTACAAGCAAGTAAAATTTTATTGATGATAATTCAATAATGATTGCAATAGTGCATCGACAAGGAGCTGCCATAAATTCAATCCAGATTCAGAAGAGGACGAGAAATGACAGATATCTTTGCTGATTTCAGATAGATCCAAGTTGAAAGCAGAGAGTACCAGAAAGATGTTTAGCTTCAAAGAAACCTATGGAACTAAAATAAACAACTGAGGCACCCATAGTGAGATTATGACAGTATGACTGGTGTCAGGGGTGCCTGTAGAAGAAGTTGCTAATGGTATATGGCTCAAAGGAATTCTGTAAAATCCCTGTGTCTGCCACTAAAATGCACTTGGTACACACAGAAGGAGGGTGCTAAGGATTGCCACAAGTAGACTTCCATCTACTGGCACAGTTAGACAAAGTAAACCTCTTATCCAGGAATTCTGCTAGACTCTTGAATCAGAGTTCTCCATGTCTGTTGGGATACATTTTTATAAAAAAAGAAAAGACACACGATGTATCCTGGAGCTTTTATTAAGACTCACTGTAGAATTCTGGTGGCATAGTGGATTAAGAGCTGGTCTTCTAACTGCAAGGTCAGTGGTTCACATCTACCAGGCACTCTGTGGAAGAAAGATGAGGCTTTCTGCTCCTGTGAAGATTTACAGCCTCAGAAACCTTGTACAATGTTGCTATGAATCGGAATCCACTTGACGGCACATAAACACCACCACCACCCACGGTGAAAACAGTGTTTCCACTGTAAATGCTCATGCCCTTCAGTCTGGATTAAAACTACTTTTACTTTAAATGAAGGGTTAATACCCCTTTTTAGTTATGATGGCAACCATTGTTCCTGGAGCTTTTAGCACTAAAGTGTACCAAATCTTTCTTTAAATACAATTCAAGCAAACCTCCTTGTTGCATTTATCTGTGAGGAAATTCATGCAAGCTTTTCACTTCCTGAAAATCAAATACTTTTTTTTTGTTGTTTTTTTAACATGACCAGTTACATAAAAATTATGCCCAGTGTTGAAGTTACAGGTTCAAACTACATTTTGAAGGCTTTTTCTGGGTAATGTAGTACATTGTATGTACCCTATCATTGTACCCCTTACCGTCACCTTTAGTAAATTTTATCTTTTACTTAGAAGAGAGTCTCAATTGTTGCCTTGGTATGGGAGGAAAGTGGAGTGTTAAATTGAAGTAAATCCTACTGTTAGATATTTACATATAGAATAATTAAGATAGAAACTTGCCTTGTTAGTATAGAACATGTCACCATAGCTATGAGCTTAAATCTTAGCATTGTGAACACTTTCCTGGGCTAAAAACCAAACGTAAACCATCAGTAATCATGTCTTCTTCAAGGCTTACCCCATCTACTTTGATCCTGACCCCATTAGCCTGTAGTATATTGAAGTACTCTATTTTTAAGAAGGAATTTATATATATATATATATATATATCTTGCCCTTGGAAAATTACCAGTACTGCAAATCATGATGAAAAAGGATGTGGTAGCATTGGAGCTTCTTTGAATTTTCTTTGAGCCTCACTAATTGGGAATTTCTTAGCATAGCAAGGAAAATATAAACAGCACTTACTCTGCTTCTTGCCTTAAAGGTATTGAGATTCAAGTTTCAGCAGCTATGTAAATTTTCGTGGAGCTGTGTAGAGAAACTCCATTTGCTAACCCTGTGTTTTCTCTATTATTGAGCCAATAGTTCTTTCACCTATGATCTTTAATGTGACTTCATGGAGATAATCCTTTCTTCCCAGAGTCACTTAAACAGAATTGGTAATCCATATGTTACAATGCTAAATAAAGCTTACATTCCTGTGTGGAGAAAAAAGCTTGCTAATATGATAGCTTATAAACAAATTAGGCCTAGTAAGTTTACCTTCTGGTTCCCCAAAAATATAAATTTGCCCTTTTAGGTGGTACTCAGTGCTTACCCTTTCTTTCCAAGTAACTGGAGTCCTGGTGTGACACTGTAGGATAAGCACTGGACTTTGAATCACAAGGTGGGTGGTTCAAACCCACCAGCTGCTTCTTGGAAACTCTATACAGGGTAGCTATGAGTTGGAACTGGCTCGATAGCACTTAACAGTAACAACAAATAACTGGAGTAGTTGCATATGATCTCTTCTTATCTATATGAGGGACAGAGTTGCACTGCATTTGTCTGACTTCTGAGTACTTTTTCCCTGAAAACCCACCCAGTGGCTCTTGCTACCTTGACTGACGGTAAAATAAAAATCAAAACTAACCCTTCATTTAATTCTGCTGCACTGCCAATATTTGATAAGCCAGTTTATAGAGTGTATCTGTGAGATTGACTGGTGTTGTTGTTGTAAAGTGCCATTGGGTTGGTTCCAACCCATAGCGACCCTGTATAGGATTTCTGAGGAGTAGCTGGTGAGCTTGAACTTGGTGGTGGTGGTTGTTAGGTGCTATTGAGTTGGTTCCGACTCATAGTGATGTACAGCAGAATGGAACACTGCCCAGTCCTATGCCATCCTCACAATTATTGTTACGTTTGAGCCCATTGCTGTTATCACTGTGCCGGTTAATCTCATTGGGGGTTATGGTTGTTATTGTTAAGTGCCATCTAGTTGGTTCTGACCCATCACAACCCTGTATAGGATTTCAGAGGAGCCGCTGGTGAGCTTGAACCGCCGACCTTGCAGTTCAAACAGCATTGCAGTCTGACACATTAACCCACAGTGCCACACCAGGACATAAAAAGAAAGGGTTGTTTTTAAGTGCTATAGTGTCGGTTCTGACTCAATGCGACCCTATATAGAATTTCCAAGGAGTGACTGGTGGATTTGAACCACTGACCTTAGTCCAGTATTTATCCTATAGTACCACACCAGGATAGAGTCTATAAATAACTTTGAGCCATTGGAATGTCAAAGTGTTTCAATCTGGCCCAGTGATTTCTGGCAGAGCAGAATTGCCACATGAATGTATTTCTTAAAGACACTATATAATCATCCTTTATATGGAAGAAAACATTTAAGAGGTAAAAGTGGGAATGTATGACTATTGGAGTATATATGACTACCCAGTGGGTCCAACACAGTAAGTGGTTTCTGTGTATAGTTTGTTTTGTTTTAAATTTAAAACCATTGTAAAAGCTTCACCTCAGATTTTTTTTTCCCTAAACTGATACTTTATTCACTGCAGGATGAAACTACTGTTTGCATGGCTGCAGTCATTGATACTACAGTGGAACCAGAAGCTGTAAGTAATTGGCCCCTTTGTGTAGAACCAGAAGCGTTGTGCCATTTCCTATAATTTATCACTCATTTGAAGAAGAGAATCCATGATTGTTTTCATCCTCCATAGAATGGCCTAGAAATTCAGAAATCTTGAGTGTAAACTCCCTAACTTAGTTATATTCTATCTCTAGTAGTGCAACTGATAATAAATGGTAGGACTTCTCAGAGATGTCATAATTTACAACCTAACGTACTGGTTTCTTATTATGTGCTAGTATTCTTCATCAACTATCCAGCAAGTTAAAATGAGTAGAGGAACAAATTGGGAACTAAACAAATTAGGAAACGACGACAAAGTCTAGCATAGCATTGGAGCAGAAATGGAAACGAATTTCTTTCTGACTCAAATGTTCTATGGATAGGATTGTTTGGTGCTAAAAGAACCAAATGCTTGTGTTTTAAGAATTGATAAATGGCCAAAGGTTATAAAGTCAAAATTAAAAACTGTACAATGGTTTGGTTGAGATGGCATTTTCTTCCTAAAATGAATCTATATTGGTAGTTTTATAAGAATAAATGAGACCTCTTATCTATTTCCACCATTCCCAAAGTGACATTTTCAGGTACCTCTTTCCTCTAAGGTCTCCTTGGAATGAAATAAAAGTAAGAAATATTGGTCAAATAAAGGTAAACAAGACAATAAGTTGTTTCTGAGAGTCAGAGTTTCTAAAATAAATAAGGTGCTTGTGAGAACAGTGAAATAGACTAGCTCAATTTATTTCAGATGGTTAAAGCAAATGTATAAGAAGCCACGGTTATAAAAGAACAAAGGTGTTGGAATTATTGAACTGGCCATGAGAATTGATAAAACAGTGCCTAAGAAACTCCAATTGCTTGTTTCTATAACAAGTAATTATCCTTATTTCCTCCAGCAAGTAGAAACCAGTCCAGAGGCCAGCAGGTCTTCTGATGTTTTCACCACTCAGCATGCTCTGCATCAAGCTCAGATGTCTAAAGAGTTGATTGAGTTGAATAAAGCCCTTGCACTGAAAGAAGCCCTAGCTAAGAAAATGACTCAGAATGACAGCCAACTACAACCCTTTCAGTTCCAGTACCAGGTAAACTATTTACTCAAGTCTACTGTCTCTTTAAAGTAGCTCTGGTAGCGCAACAACTGTCTCTTTAAAGTAGCTCTGGTAGCGTAGTGGTTATAAATTGGCCTGCGCACCTCAAGGTCAGCAGTTCGAAACTACCAGCTGTTGCATGGGAGAAAGATAAGGAGTTCTGCTCCCATAAAGATTTACAGCCTCAGAAACCCTGTACAGGGTCGCTATGAGTCAGAACCGACTCCACGGCACATTACCACCACCACCACTACCACTGTTTCTTTAATTGAATGGGAAGAAAACTTGTACACCATTTTTTGTAATGAAAAGACAGGATAATATGTAGAGTAGAGCTAGAGTTGTTCTGTTGGGTATTGTTTTGTTTTAAATTACAGGCTTTCGATCTCTATTCAGGGTTGTTGTTGTTAAGTGTCGTGGAGTCGGTTCCGACTCATAGCAGCCCTATGTAGAGTTTCCGAGGGGCGACTGGTAGATTTAAACTGCTGACTTTGCTGTTCAAACTGTCAATGCAGCTGAGTGCTTATCCTTTAGTGCCACACCAGGAGTCCCTATTCAGGATAGAGAACGTATAATTTTGTCCTATTGAGTCTAGTGGAGTCCCTAGGTGGTGCAAGTGGTTAACGTGCTTCACTACTAACTGAAAGGTTGGAGGTTTAAGTCTACTCAGAGGTATCTCACAAGAAACACCTGAGAGCCTACGTCAAAAAAATTCAGCCATTGAAAACCATATATATACTCTGACACAAATGGGGTTGCCGTGAGTCAGGATCAACTTGACAACAACTGATTTAGCCTAATGCCTTAGCAAACATGGTTTGTACTTGTTGAGACTTTGTTTTAATGACTATACTTACTTTCTGAGTAAGGTATATTTCTTAGTAAATGATGACTTTACAAATAGCAAAACTGATTTTCCTAGTGGCGATTCTAAGTGGCCCTTGCTATTTAGTAAGCAAGTCTTTACTTCAAGTAATTCTTTGGTTATTAGGTTACACGTAAGATATGGCCCTTATAAGAAAAGACCTTATTTTTCCTTATAGCCTAATGCCACATATACTTTCTCTGGGATATCACTATGAACTTGTTTGGATGGATCATAGGAATAAAGATGAATAGGGTTTTTTTGTAATTTTTCAAAATTGGGCCACCAAGTCCTTCTTCCTAGTCTGTCATAATCTGGACATTCCACTGCAACCAATCTACCATGAGTTACCCTGTTGATATTTGAAATACTAGTGACATCACAGCAATATGCAAGCCACCACAAGGTGTCCAGGGTTTTTACCAGAGGTCAACCATATAGGTACTCTATATCTCCATGTACCAAAATTCAGACACCCATAAAGAAGATGTCAAAATAAATCATTTGTTTGCACAATTTATATCCATTGTGTCACTCTTACCAGTTAGGAAATAGTGGAAATCCTTTCAAAATCTAAGCTTCTAGACATGAGTCAAGATCCAATACTGCAAGAACACCTTTCTAAGGAGAGTAATCTTGGGCCTGCTATTGTTGTTACCAGGTGCCATTGAGTGGGCACTAATTCATAGTGACCCTACACACAACAGAAGGAAATACTGCCTGGTCCTGGACCAACCTCACAACCTTTACTACACCTGAGCCCATCGCTGCCACCATTGTGCTAATCCATCTCATTGGGAGTCTTCCCCTTTTTTTTTCAACCCTCCACTTTACCAAACATGATATCTTTCTCCAGTGACTGGTCCCTCCTGATAATATGTCTGAAATATGAGACGAAGTCTAGCCATCCTAGCTTCCAAGGAGCACCCTAGCTATACTTCTTCCAACACAGATCTAGTTGTTCTTTCGGCAGTCCATGGTACTTTCTTTTTTTTTTTTTTTAATTTAAGGTTTTTATTGTGGATTCAGTGAATGTTTACAGGGCACATAATCAGTTTCACATTCAACCATTCGTATAATTTGTTTCACTACATTGACTACAATCCCCTCCATATGCCATGAGTTAAAAGTATTTCTCTCTATCCACTTTAGCTTTTTAAAAACACACAAACAAAAAAACCCACTCAGGCATATATAATAATTTACATCTCCAAAGGGCACATTCTGCAAGTCTGCTCCAGGTGACCAGTTCTTAGTCCTTCTCTTCTTAGTTGATGAATCTGGGGTCCTCAGCCACACCCCCTCTCCATGCCCCATCTCTGCCTCCATCTCTGGCACTGCTACTTTTCTGGATAAGGTCCCGCATTCTATTTGTGCATTCCTGTCTTGATGGTCCTAGGGTCCTCTGTTTCTGGACTGTAAGATTAACCACTCCCCTTTTTTTTGTTACAAAACTTTTACCTTTACAAGTGTGACAGTCACAAATAGTCATGATAACAGTTATTTACTATTGAATCTTATCCCCATCTCCTTTCACCAGACCCATCTAGACAAGATGATAGCTATTCAGTGGGGACTCTTTCTTTCCCCCCACCCTCTAAAACTAAGCTCCCTCTTGAAACCTTGTAAGCCAATCACTTCTTGCCTTTATTGCCCCCTCATTTTAGATAGCCAATGTCTAAGTTGC